CGCCAACTCGTTGGGCTACTTCTTTTACCAACGAATTAACCGTCACATTATAACCGCCCCATGGCTGAAAGGGCGAACCTGTTGGTGGGACGGGATTCGAACCCGCGAGCCTCAGATTGCGAGTCGAGCGTCCTAACCACCTGGCCATGCCCGGCCGAAAACAGGGATAAAACTAATCAGTTAGTTTCAGATTTAAATTTAAACTTCAATAACATATCTATGTTAAGGTTAAACGAAGAGGTGTTAAGTCTAATTAATAATATCTCCTTTGTTCCCAACGTTCTTTCGTTCACTGTTAAGCAGATAATGCTGAAGTCTTTATCGCAAGGTGTCACATTACACATGTTGTTGAAATGTGTGTTAATCAATAACAAAAATATTTTCAATGTGGAAGCCGTCAGATTATAAAACGAGCCCAGCCATATAAAGTGGAGATATTAGACACATAAGTCAACTTGGAAGAAACAATTGATCAACCTTGTTATCTAATGTTACTTTTATTATTAGCAGTAGTAGTATTAATAATAGTAATATTATTATTATTATTAAATGTGCAACAACGTTCTAACTGCAACTTTTATATTCATCCACTGGAATCAAACACACAACTCAGGAGAGATAACTGGAGCTACACAAGCAAATATGTACAATTGTAAAAGATGTTAGACCAGGATAATTGTAATTACCGTTCCTTTCCATACTGAACAGATTCCCTTCTTTCGGTTTGAGATGTTCTGTGATTCGAACCACCAGGTGACGAACCGAGGAACCAATATAAAGCTGTTTACAACAGGTCATGCTAATTTGTAAACAATGCACGACCGCCATAGAGTTGGAATAGAAACTTTCATTTTAAAAATAATCTTTAATGTGTAATTAAGGTTTAAAGATGACTTTCAGCAAAATTTGTGGGCGTAAAGATTTTTATATGTTCAGCATGTTTTTTCTTAATATCAAAACTTAAAGAACCCATAAACGATAGGGCTATCGTTAGAGAGAATTAAGTTTTCAGAAAACAGCTCTTCTTGAGATAATTTTTTATGTTATCAAGTTCTTTGTTTATCTTCAAAAACGCTATTTGAAATACTTAATAACAACCAAAATTTAAAACATTTATGTAATTATTTCTAAATTATAGTTAAAAATACGTTTAAATAATGCTTATTAAATTAACACTGCGAAGCACGTGAAATATGATAGTAATGTACTGTTGCATTTTCATAGTAGGGATCGTGACGAAACAAAATGGCGGCCATAAAATTCGCCCGTATTAAAACCACCTTTAAAATGTCTGAATATATAAATAATGACTATTTTACAGTATTGGCTGAGCAAAGCTAAAGCTTATTGTACTTATAAAGCTGCCTAAATCGCTATATACGTGTTTATGGAGTGAATCAAATTTCACTATTTCAACGAATTTTCATCTAAGCAAGTAAGTAAGTGACACTTCCAGACAAGTGTACAGAAAAAATGACGAACTTTATAGCTCTAATTCTTTCACAGAATTCTTCCGTCTTGGATCCCAATGATTCCTTTCTTGTGCCAAAAAGGATACTAGAACATATATATTAAACGGACGATGCACTACTTTGGGCAAATAATTAGATTCGAGGGTACGTAGGTAGAGATCCTGATGAGTAACAAAATCGAATCGGGTATACGCGTGTCTCACAAACAAGTATAATAAAAAATAAATTTTTATAAAGACAAATGGGGATCGATATATACGTAATCTAGCTGGCTATAGTAATAGTTTTAATGCTACAAAATTGAAACGAGAAAGTAAAAATTACAAAAACTGAGTTACTTAAAATCTAAAAAACAATTATCCCTATTTTGGCTCAGACTAACATAATTACAATGATCTTTGATAGTTTTTTTTATGCAGAATATTCATAATGAATCTAAGTTTCAAATGGACAGCAACTATCTTCAGGTCCTGAAAACGACAGGTGGAAGACTTTCGAAACGTCGTCTTCTACATTTGTAGGTTTCTACATCAGGCATTTGCTGTCCGTTTGAAACTTAGATTCATAATTACAGTGCTTTGCCAAAGTAGGGATATTTTTTTTATTTAAGTAACATTTTTGTAGTATTCCTAATTTTTAATTTTTAAGATTTAAAAACTCAAATTACAAGTTATCTTATTATTAGCGTTTCAGATCAAAACCTAATTAAAAAGTCTTTAAATTAACATCGATACCCGTAACAACAATGCGCCAGTTTGTTGTCTCTTATCGAAAGTAATTAAAAACTAAAAAAAGACCGAAATTAAGTTCAGTGAATTCTCTTTAAGAGAAAAAAGAACAGGAAC